TCAATTTCCTCGCAACATTGCTGTACTCAATAGTACATCTTTTAGCTTTTGCATGGATGTGTCAGCCATTAAATGTTGAAACATTGTACTTAAAAAAATATTCGTTCCTCATAACCAACTCAAAATTAATTTCATTTAGAATACAAGTCCACAAACAGAAATGCAAGAAAACCACTTGACACCTAAAATTGATTTTCTTTTTCATTGTCACTTGCAAAATCTTTAATCTTTCACATAGATCAACCAACTGAGCTCGTATGTGCTCTCTGAAGGAACTAAAGAACAATGAAATTAATTAGAAGTGGCAAAACAACGAACATGAGTTGCAAAACAAGAAAGAATTGATAATTCTCAACCTGTTAAGCTGACTCTTAGAAGCACTATTACTGAAATGCAAGTTAAGAAATGCAGGAAGAGAAAATCATCAGTGTGAGGAGTATTTTGTTGATATTAAATCAAATTCTAAGAGGGTTGAAGTATCATTTGTTCAATGCATTTGTTGTGGGGTGAAAATCCTCAAACCAAAATCAGGTACAACCTCACAGCTTTTTAGGCATGTTAAGGAATGTGCTAAGATAAAAGTAAATAGTCAACAATAAGTTAACTTATCAGACAAAAGAAAAAATATGTTGAACTTCTTGCCTTTGGAAGTTTAGAGTGATTCAAAGATTTCTATTTTCTATGATCCTCAAAATTATGATCAACAACTCATAAGAGAGGTGATTCCAAAAATGATAATTGTACATGAATCTCCATTCATGATAGTTAAACATACTTGGTTCAATACAATGTTGAAAATGTTGAATCTTAAGTTTTAGAGTTTTTCAAAAACACTATAAAAAATAATTGCATGAAAGTTTACGAGTGCGAGAAAGAAAAACTTAAATCTTGTCTTAAAGATATTCACATGGTATCATTAACTACAGATTGTTGGACCTCCAATCAGACTATCGGATATATGTCCTTCACTGCTCATTATATCGACGAAACATGAAAGTTAACAAAAGTTATTATCAACTTTATTGAGTTAGAGTCTTCACATACGAGCACTTACATTTGTGATGTTATTTGTGAGTGTTTGTTGGAGTAGAAGTTTTAGAATAAAGTCTCTACAATTATTTTAGATAATGCGAATAAAAAAGACGTGACAGCTAGTTCCTTAAAAGTGAATTTTCAATCACGAGGAAAACTGTACTTCCGCGGTCTTTTTTTCATATAAGATGATGCACATATATTATCAATATAATGATCCAAGGCAGACTAAAGAAGGTTAATGAAATCATCCAAAATATCAGAGTCTATGAAGTATCTAAAAAAAACCCCTGAAAGATTGCATAAGTTTGTAGAAGTGACAAAAGAATTAGGAGTTACAACTATAAGGTCATTGTTCATTGATGTTTCTATTAGATAAAACTCATGGAGTTCGCATTTATTTATCACAATGTTTTTATCACTACGCGATTAGTGATAACTACAAATGATTGTCTATTGATTCAGAATGAGTGAAATATGCTAAAAACAGAAAGTTACTTTCAGTTTTCAATAATGTTACAAAGCTGAACTCTCGCACTCTATATTCTACTTCAAATATATTTTTACCTACAGATATGCATGTTAAAAAGTTTTTGATTGAGTTATTGTCAGAAGATAATTATATGAGAAATATGACAATGAGTATGCAAATCAAATTCAACAAATATTCGAAGGAATGTAATCTTCTTATGTTTATTGCAACAATTTTGGATCCTAGATTGAAACTAAAATTTATTAACCACACATTCCTGAAGATATACTCACATGAAGAGATTGAGCAAAATCTTAAAACACTTCAAGATGTCTTGTGAAAAAAATATGCAAATTATGTTGTTGATTGCAATGTTTCCAATGAAGGATCTTCATCTACAAATGTTTCTACGAGTTCCTCAAGTCATTTTAACGCAATATTTGAGTTTCAAGATTTTGTTGTAGCTTTTAGTTTTGTGGAACCATCGAAACTTGATTTACAAGTATATCTTGAGAATGGATTATTTGTGCGCTCGAGTGAAAACTTGGATGTGCTTGATTGGTAGAAGATGAATACATTGAAGTATACCCGACTTTCAATTATGGTTCGAGATATTCTATCAATATATATAATCACGGTTGCTTCAGAACCAGCTTTTAGTGTAGACAATAGGGTGTTGGATGATTATAGAAGTTTATCCACTAAAACTTTAATGCATTGTTTGTGCATCAAGTTGAATTCGATTTATTCAAAAAAATGCAAAGATATTAATGATAATTTTTTCATTAAGTATGTCGTTTTCTACTTTCTAGTGTATTTTATTTATTCACAATGCTAGATATTAATATTTATTTTCATTATTTCTTTTCAGCAAGAGATCCTTAATGAGGAAAAACTTAATATTCAACTACCAAACAAATGAAGTCAAATTAGTCGAGTCTATAATATGCAATTTTTTTCATTGCTAAGAATTTACAATATATTGTAGTTTTGAACTTTAGACACTTGTTATTATTTTCGCATTCAACTAGAGATACATTTAAATTTTAAATTTTTAATTAGAGATACATTTAAATTTTAAATTTTTAATTCACATAATATCAGATATGCTGATTATTCAGATATTTTTTAATCATTCTTTTTTGGCGTTGTATTTATGTTTGGCTATTACTAGATCCAGAAAAGTCAGTTTAGGAGCTTTGGAGAGGTGCAACAACTCCCAAAATTGGTGAGAGGGTTGTTTCCCTCTCTCCCCTCCCTGCTTTCGGTTGGGTTTACCATGCTTGGGATTTGTTTAGCATTGACAACCCTACATACATACATGTCACATTGCTTAAATGACTATGTTTCCCTCTCTCTCCTCCCTGGTTTCGGTTGGGCTTATGCATGCTGCAGTAAAGAGCTTATGAATGAGTATATTTTTCAAAAAATTCATGTTTTTATGCGATGCAAGAAAGGGCTTATGCATGCTACAGTAGGTTTTGGTAAATCTATATATATGTTAAATTGCATTATTTTTCTCTAATGATATTGTGGTTTATTTTGTCAGCTCGAAAAAATTATAAATATATGATTTCCCTTCATTCCTCATTTATTATTGTTTCCTTTATAATGGCTAATTACCATAAGGCATGTAGAAAGCTGCGTGGTAATGGTACTTTACATATACCTGAGCAGGATAAGAGACCAACTTTGATAAGTTGGAGACCCCCCTCCTCAGACTGGTCTAAAGTCAATATTGATGGTTGTTGGTTCTCTAACTCTGTTGGGGCTGGAGGCCTCATTCAGGATGATACAGGGAAGTGCCTAGCCTATTTTGTCTCACCTATCTTTGCTTCATCTCCTCTTGAGGTTGAGGGTTGGGCAGTTTTATTGGCTCTAAAACTCCTTACAATAGGAGTTAGTTATCTGATTTTCTTTGTTGCTTTGATTTTAATATCAACTGAGCTAATTACACATGTGCGTCTTACTATTTTAGCTGCAAATTTTCTTTGGTTTTTGTTGTTTCAATGATTTCAGAATTTCTTACCTTTTCAATTAGGTGGAATGGTTGACACTTGCTTCATTGCATTTTCTAAATATTTACTTGATGGATAAATGTAGTCGGTTGTGTTACATTTTTCTTTCACTCTTTTCTATACTATTCAGTTTCTCCTTTTGCCACACATCAATTTTAGTTTTTTCTGATTGTTTCTCTTTGTATTTCTCAACTGTTATGTTGGTTTATTGCTTGGAGGATTGTTTTCTTTGGAGGTATTTCTGCGATTTGACAATGGTGTGAGACTCCCTCTGCTTTTGTGGCTGCAACTGTGCTTTGTTGTCAGCTCGGTTGAAGATTTTATGTTACTGTTTTCTAGACAGAAGGAATTTTCTGTTGACTTTGTGGCAGCTTCAGGTCTTCTTCAGATGCTGCACACAGAAATTTTGGCTTCATTGTTACATCTCAAATATATGGGTATACGTTTTGTTTTTCTTTTTAGATATACTTGTATTTACATTTTGGAGCTTTATTTGAATGGAGTTGTACCGTGGAAGGTGAAACCCTTATGGGTGAGTTTAATTTGTATTTTGTTTTTTTCTAGTTAAGGGGATCGACATCCCCTCCCTTTTTGTACTCTCTTTTGATCTAATAGAAATCAGAGCCGTATAATGCTCCTTACTCAATATATATATATATATATATATTATTTATCTATATATTATCTTGATTTTTTTTCATCAATATGATTGATTAGTTGTCCATTTTAGTTCCCGGTGCTCGAGATATATCTTGTCCATTCTACTACACAATTTTTATGTATTTATATTTCTAATATCTAAATTTATTTTTACATTTATAATATTTTAGTTTCATAACAATATAAAAATTTTCAAACAATATAAATAATTTCGAAAAATTCGAACAATAAGAATGATTCGAACAATTCGAATAATTCGAACATTTCGGACAATTCGAACAACCCGAACAATTCAAACTAATTTCGACCAAATCGAACTGAACACGAACAGTGACTTCACCAACAATTTTGAACACGAGCCTATTTCAAACAAATTAAATTTCAAACAAACCGAACACAACACTAGCTCTGTTCGTTCGTGTTCGGTTCGTTTACACCCCTAGTGGCACTCTGCATACCTTAGTGACTTATGCTTCTAACCCTTCTTTCATCCATCTAATCAAATATGATCACGGGTGATTTTCAATGGACAGATTTAGAGTACAAACTCATATATGACAAATGAAAAGATGTTGAGTAATCTCCGGTTTTGTAGGAAAAGTGCAGGTACAACATATATAATATCTTTTCCAGTCCAACGATTGAGAGGACTCTTTAGCAAAGCAATAACTCGAATAAATTGCATTCCACCTTCTCATTCGAGATAAAAGTGCAGCATTGCTCAACCAACATAAGGAATAACAAGTACAAAAATTGAAGCCAAGAAACTATATTCCATAAAAACTAGAATAAACAAAAGAAGTGCCACATTCACCTACCTTCAAGAAATGGATGACAACCAAACCCTTTCAATCATCTCCATAGGCGCGGAAGCGGTACCGCTCCTCGTAGGGCCCGTTGAAGAAGAGGTCGGCCTCGAACCATTTAGGGTAGCGTACAAGATCTCCGGCAACGAAACGCATGTAGCGTTCGCCGGACTTTTCTCCCTCCGGCACCACCCGAACCTCGCCGGAGACGATATAGACCTGCTGATCGACGTGCCAGTTCCATGGAACCTGGCATTTTCCGGTCTTCCAAGTTGACCACCGCTCCACGCTCAGGTCGCTCAGCCGCTCTTTAGACACCCCGCGCTCAACTCGTACGTTGTAGATCTCCTCCAGTGGCCGCTCGAACCTTGCAAAGATTCCTGCCCCGCGGAATGAGGGGTTTGTCGATCCGGACTGCGGATTTGACGGCCGGAATGCGATGGATGATGCCCTGAGGAAGGAGGCGAAGCCAAGAGATCCTATGGCTGATGCCATTGAGCCCTCTTTCTGTAGGGGAATGAGGGGGAAATGAGGAACAGGAAAACGCACCTGTTAGTCCAGCACTCGATGGAAGATGCCCGTTTTCTTGCCCAATGAATCTAATAATGGGATAAAAACTTGGAGAAATATATAAAATCATCCATCCCTCTTATATTCATGACCTATTTCTTGGAACTCGCTACTAAAAAAATTATTCTAATTGATTTTAATTCTTTTTTTTTTTGTTCCATCATGATTTTAATTTAGAATCTAGGTTTAAGAACCTCGCTTGAGAGAGCATTGTGGGTTTGCAACAAAGGATTCTATAATGGGATCTTGTTGGGGCTTCATGGCAAGTTTCGGGTGTAATGCATGAGTGACCTAAGGCTCCGTTCATGTTCGAATAATTTCAATCCCTACTTTCAGATATAAAGAATCTATTTTGAAAGGATGCTCTACTTTTATTCATAACCTTTCAAATTGTCCTAAAATATCCCCTCATTTTGATAATCATATTATTTCTATATTCAAAGATAGAAATAATAATAATAATAATAATAATAATAATTTTAGGATCCATATAAATAGGTATGTTAATGCTTCAAGATTGTTCATTGGTTTTAGGGTAACTGAAAACATTCCTAACAAATTTAACAATAATAATGTCATTATTCATTATCTTAGTATTCACATTAATGTTGTCTCTATTAGCAATGAGTCATCTGTTGATATTAAACATTTTCTGTCAACCGCTGGTAATAATGAGTTTACTTATGTTCTTATTAGTGATTCTACTATTGGTATTGATAATAGGAATGCTAATCATTTTAATGATATGATTTTATATGTTGAGGATAATAATGGTAGTGTTATTATTAATATTAGTGTTAAATATCATTCTAATGTTTTACATTTATAGGCTGTGATTACTAATGCTTTGTTGACCAGTATTATTATCTCTTATGGAAATAATAGTCAAAGCAGTAAATACATAACTCATTCATCTTATTTAGCTTCTTCGAGAGCTGAGAAATGAAAACATAAATAGTTATATTGTTTCTACTGTTTTTGTTTTTTTTTTCTTTTTTTATTACTTTTTTAAAATATTTTTTTTTCTAATATAATTGATTGGAATGATAGAGGGCTTAATGATCTTGCATGTATTAGCTTTGATGCCTTCAGGCATTAGGAGAAAACTAAGAAACTTGCCAGTTGAGGCTCTAAATGCACATTTTAATAGATTAAGTTTCATTTTATATTTTTAAGGGTTTGAAATGTTTCTTTTAAGTTCCAGTTGAGTCTCTAAATGCACATTTTAATAGATTAAGTTTCATTTTATATTTTTAAGGGTTTGAAATATTTCTTTTAAGCATTTAATATGTTGTTCTGTTGAACTGCTTTTAATTAGGACATCATCCACATAGACTAATATTTTTTTCCTTTAATTAGAAAGTATTACATCCATCAAATGTAGATAAGTTGCCCCAACCTATTTAATTCAAAAGGAATTACATTATAACAGTGCACTCCCTTAGAGGTTATGAAATCCATTTTTTTAACATCGGCTGGGTGCATTTTGATCTGGTGATAGCTTGAAAAACTGTCCAAATATCTCATCATGAAGTGTCCAACTGTAGAGTTCACCAGGGCGTCAATTCTCAGTAGAGGTAACAGTCATTCGGGCTAGCATCATTTATATTAGCGAATTCCACGCACATTCAACATTTCTCGTTGGCTTTCTGGACCATGACTACGTTGGAGACCCAGGTGGGAAACTGCACCTCCCAGATGTAGTCAGCCTCATTCAATTTCAACACCCCACTTTGATTGGCCCGTCTAGTGTTGTCACCAAGTTTCTAATTCTCTGCTTGATAGGTCAATGGTGACATTCACATTCAACTGGTGGTAGGTGATGTCGATCAGCATCCCTGAAATCTCCACTTTTGACCAAGCAAGGATGTCTTGATGCTTGTAGAGCATCAGGATCAACAGCTCTCCATGTCATGCAACAAAATTCTCACTTATTAGAAAAGATTTATCAGATTCTCCTTTGACTGTGAAGACCTCTAGGGTTGTTTCATTGGTCTCAAAACCTCCTTCTCTTCGATTTTATAGGTCAAGCGGCTCCTACTTCATGCTTGCAACCACCCCAGAGGTAGTAGACCAGTGAATGCTCCAGATCTCCCTGAACAGTGATGACTTCTCCTTTGCATAGAACTTCATCACCGTGTGGTATGTAGATACTACAACCTTGAATCTTTTTAGCAACAGGCGATCAAATATTAAGTTGAATGTGGGTGGCAAGTTCACTATGAAAAAATCCTCTATGTGAGTGAATTTCTTCCTACTTTCTCCCTAGGTGACTGCCAGTGGCATTATTCATAGGGCTTCTTTCCTCTTCCCAAAAAGCCATACAATGGGTCAGATGGTGCCACTAGCCAGTCGACATCAATACTCAGCTTATCGAACATTGATTTGGACACTATGATCACAGAGCTATCGACGTCGATCAGGATACTCCTAACTTGATATTTGTTGATTACCATCATTACAACGATAGCATTGTTGAAGGGATTTCCCCTTGGGGGCAGATCTGTGTTGGTGAATGTGATGACAGGACAACTTCCACTCTTCTATATAGTGACGCTTCATAGTTCCCCTGACTGGGACCTTTTCTGGAAGGGTCTCCAAGATGACTCGCTTTCCTCGAGAATGGTTGGGACGATTCTGACAATATGAACAACATTCACTCGAATGGGCTCGTCTGGGACTACTAAAATAGGGGCCTTTCCATGCCTTTGTACCTTAGCTTCAGGTGTCATAAACTTCCCATCCCTGATGAGTTCCTGATCAAGTTTCATAGGTGTCAACATTCCTCTGTGTCATGGTTGTAACTCTAATCGTATTTGCAGTATTTCTTTGTATCCCGAGGGAAGCTCGGACCCTCATCGATGGTGCCTTCTTAAAATACTCCTTGTCTTGAATGGAATCCTTTATCTCTACCATAAAAACTCTCAACTAAGTGGGTCGAGGACCAATGTAATCGTCCAATTACTGCTCATAGTGTTGGACGGACCTCTCCTGAGTGGCTGCTCGTATTATTGGGCCAGTCGCTAGTCACATTTCCTCCCCCGATCACCTTGATTGTTGTTCCTGCCAATTTCTCTATTATCACAAGGTGACTATCCATCTTCATGTTGTGGATGGATGGGCAATCATGAATTTTCCTTTGGCTTCCACCCATTATTCTATGGGAGTCTCTTCAAAGCATCATTCTGGCAGTTCAGTCCTGATAACGTCCTTATAGGCGTTAATATATTTATTGGCCATCTCTAAATATTTGGCCAAACTCTGGGGTTCCTCCAAGCTGAGGTTGAAATCAAACCTGTCGAACTTCAGTCCAAGGGTTAAGGCAGCTTGCGCCATGTTGGGTCGCTAATCCTTCACTTCCAGCATCTCCCTCTGGAACACAGAATGAGTGAGAATATGCTCTCTTTCAGTCTTTGATTAAGCTGTCCCAAGGATTATGTGCTCCTCTTTGGCCTTCCAATGCTCACAAACTGTGCCAAAAAAATTCTCCTAAAGTCTAATAAACAAATAATCACTCTGATCGGCAGTGAGCTAAATTATCTCAGAGATGATGATCTCAGAGTGGTGAAAAACAACCTGCATTTAAATGCATCAAAGACCTTCAGTAGACATATTGATGATTCAAATGAAAAATGGTAGTCATTGGGATCCATCTGAGCACCTTCAAGCTTCTAGAGTTGGAAGTTTAAACTTCTTTGAGGGTTCAAATTCCGAGATCTGGAGTGAGAAAGCATTCTCCAATTATTGCGGGGTGTCAGTACGACCAAACTATTATCTTTCCATCTGTGTAGATCCAACACTATCCTGGTACTGTTAATCTCTTGCCCTCTCCGAGCCATGGTTCAATTTTCTGCCATTGTACTCTTTCTAGAATGGTTCTGCTCTTGAGAGACTCATTCTCATGGCAATTCTAAGGACCTTTGTTTTCTATCTCAATACTTAATTTTCTATATGGATAATAATTTCTTACATCTCTCGTTTTACGAACTCCTCCATGAACTCTTTGGTGCTTCCTACGCTCATTACATCTCTATGGGGGTCTTCCTCTTGTTGTGGTGCTCCTCTTCTTGTTGACGATATGACACTACGCACACTGCTCCTTTCAGAATGTTGAATCTACAAACTGTTAGGAGGCCCACCAAAGGAATAGTGCATAAAAGAAGTGAAAGGTAGAGAGAACATAATAATGAATAGAAAAATTGTGTAACTTTACTCATGAGATGAGGCCCCTGTTTATAGACAAGGTTTTGACTAAATTACACTTTGTTCCCCTAATAAAATAGGAATAATAAAAGGTATTTTAGGTAATAGGTTTTAATAAGTTTGGGAGCTTGCTAAGATACCACGTCGAGTGCTTGAGGGTGACCATTATCTGTGGGCCGACAGAATATCTCTGGCAGGTCTTTTTTATCTATTGGCATGTCTGATGACTCTTGTGGAAAGTTTGATAAGAGCACCCTCTGAATAGATTGTTGGTTGTAGCTTGACATAGGGGTTGGTTGTCACCCGATTAGTATGAACTAGGCGAATAAGAATGGGCCCTCGGATAACTCCTAGTGGGCCCTAGCTTGTCATGTCATCCTATCTGTTGATTGTAGGATCTCGTTGAGATTCATGATGACACATTTTTTATGTGCAATTATTATATATGATTATTTATCGTCTACAAATAAATATGTTACTAAAAATGAAATTTCTTATAGGACTAAAGCTTTTATGGACATTGAGAATAAAAAGACTTGTTTTCAATTGGTTCTGATAAGGCTTCTGGGTGAGACAGTTTCACCTCTAAATAATTCAAAAAAGCTTGGCATATTAGAAATGATTTTATTTATGCTATTTAATATTCTTTTTTACTACTGTTAAGCGTCCTCATAGAGTTAAGCACATAGTTATTGTAATTGTTCCTAAGAATGGTGATGTTAAATCTTTTATTGATTAT